TTAATTTAGTTCTCGAATATATTCAATCAATAACTACTTGTTTAACTTTAATTTCTTTTTCTTCTCTCAAAAATTTTTAATTTTGCATTAATACAAATATAATAACCAAATCATTATTTACAAATTCAAGTTATTCAATTAAATAATATCCTAATAAAATTTTTTTAGGTTTTTCTCAAGCCAAAAAACTAAAATTTCAGGAGTCCAAAAATGTGTTTTTATAAATTATTAATACAAATGAGCATTATTCTATTTTTTTTAGGAATACAAATAAAATGAAAATTTTTCAGAAGAAGAATTGCTAATTAAAAGAATGGTCTAGAGCTGGTTTGAAGTGTACGCCATGAACCTCAAGAATAACCCGACAATACCATACTAGAATCAGTGTAAAATAGACAAAATATATGGGTGTTATAGGCTCCATTAATAAATAATCTAAAGGTGGATTTTACTAAATTGGATGAGTTAAAATAGTTTAAATTATTTAAAAATAAAGATTTTCATATAATAATTAGTCAAGAATAAGCTATCCATCACTATGAACCCTCAATATTTAGATTTTCATATATAGTAATATTTAATTAGTGGTATATGAATTTTAAAAATTCCCAATCTAAATGTTTAATGAGGGTAAATATTTTCTGTTTAAGAGATTAAAAATAAGTCTTATTTTAAATTATTTAATTTTTTGGGGATGAATTGATTGATAATTGTAGACTTAGGATTAATTGTAAGAGTATCTAAAGACAATATACAAAAAACTGGAGCGATAATAATCTGTTGAAGGTGAGTTGAATTTATTTAAATTAAACTAGCAAGTAACTAGGAAAGATTCTTAAATTGACGAAATTAGATTGGGGATGAAATTACTACCAAAAATAAGATAAGATTCTAAACTTTATTAAGAAAATTTGAAATAGCATCAAGATATATTGAATAAACTGAGAGAAAAATATATCATATGTTAAAAACCAGATTGCTGAATAATGTTTGAAGGATTTACAAGGAAAGTCAATAATATTAAATGGAAATTACAAAAATGTAATATAAAATAGGCAGGAGCATTAATATCATCAAGATTTCTAGTTTAAAAGGTAATAAGTATAAACTGATGTTAAATGGAGTACCCTCCACTCAAACTTAATTGCACACTTCAATTACATTATCATTAATGCAAAAATACCTTTAAAATACGTTAAAAATTTGGCTTGGGAATATGACTATTATTTTGGCTATAGCAAGAGGAATTACAATATAATTATTTATGTCGTATTTAATTAAGAAAGAAAAAAAAATTATGATAGCAATTCTTCAATAAAGG